TCACATAAGGTACCGCAAACTGAACGTGCTACTACACCTTGTCAATTAAAGGATGTGCTTATCATTTGCACACATACAGCAAAGGCCTTGTTGATAATCTTAGCTATTTTCCTCGCCGATACGAGATTTCTTTCTAGGTTTATCCAGTTTTAACGGGACACACAAACGGAGCAACAGCGGACTCTACGTGGTTGCGATGTAGAAAAAAAAAAACCCTCGCAGCTGTATGTCACGCCAAAAGACGCACTGAAAACCTGCCCGGAAGACATATAATGCACCAAGGGGTGTTACCTGTCATCCAGCAGACCGGATTTTAGTGTATAGCAGGCAGCACTCCGTGTATTACATAGAAAATCCGTCAGATACGACTGGATTATGGGATAATTAAACTTGAGTTCCATGAAAGAAATCTTATTTTCTTTTATTCCGTTTGTGCCAACAAGTCTATCAATCTGCCTCGTGTGTTGGGCGCCTTTTTGTTGGCAGGTTGTTGCCCGATTGACACCTAGAAATGATGCCAGGCGAACGAACACAGCGTTCAAACGAACTCCCCGCAAAAGAAAAAGAAAAACCAATTTTATATTGAGTCCTGCTTGGGTGGAAAAGTGGTCACCGTTGCAGTTGCAGCCTCTTACATTCTCGATATTATTTCGGCGCTTGTCGTCACAAACTTCGTCACAAAACTTTCACCCTGAGCTTGGAGGAGGGATGGATTGGCAGCGAATGAGCGGAGAAGGTGAGCAGCGTGAACCCCTAGCCGAAGACTGTTTGAAAAGGGGTTGGTTGATTCATATATATATATCGAGACTCAGGCGTACGGAGTAAAGAACTAAGGATTGTTTGCAATAGAAGACGAGAGCAAATGAACAGTAACAAGCTACGTATCTATCTACTGTGTACTTCACGTACTGAACTGTGTAGTAGTTTCGTACAGAGTATTGTTCGTTAATTGAAACTCGCTCCCTCCTTCATAATTTCCAAGCATACAAATGGATCCATATCTACCTCTGTGGCCCCCAGCGAATCCATAGAATCCATAGAATGGACAAATGAACAGCCAACAATAACAATAATAAAATAAAAAATTAGCGACCGCAACGAGCCAAACGCAAGTGGGGGGAACTATGTTGGATCTCGGGACAAATCAAATGCATTCTCCCCTTCCCTATTTTGCTCGTCCATCACAGTCTTCACAGATCGTATTGCTTTGCTCTTCATGCCAATCATTGAAAGTTGGTCGGATGAGACCAACTTGAGACCGTTAGGCGGCATGAAAAAAACCTTCAAAGCCGCCGACCAGTTAAGGGTCCGTTTAATGCATGCATCTATTTATCTACCTTAGACTAACTCCGGCCCGCACACATGCTTCCTTTTAGGAGAGGTTATCAGCGAGTATTGTCGCATAGGTTGGGTCTTTCAAAAACAAGTAGTCAATAAGGCTGAAGTGGACAGGTCACCTAACGGGGGGTACTATCATATAGCTAGTGGGCGGAAAAAGGAAGAAAAAGTAGGTAGGTATATGAAAAGGAAAAAATTATTGAAAAAGCAAAAGAAAGCAACCAAGAAAAGGAGGAAAAAGAAAAGAAGAAAAACATCACCTCATACGGAGTGCATAGTAACTAAACGGAAATAATGCAGCGGGCATATACTAAACCCCTCAAGTTTAAATCGAAATGGTTACTTTGAAACGAACAAGCCAAAAGCATTGCTAGATAGTATCATTCAGGGATACTCCAATTGAGCTGTTCTCTTCAATGGGGCTGTTTCGATCCTCTTACTATTCCCTATATTTCTCGGGTGCTACGCAGTAACAGGAACGCCTCTCTTGGTTAAGAGGTAAGGATTTTTACAATAGGTAAGTAAAGCGGGTCATGGCGCCAAAGCAAAACCCCCCCCAAATATAAGACAATACCATTATTGCTCTTCAGCACCGCAGTAACGAATACAGTGGCTTTTGCTTTCTTCTTTTGCTCCTCCTTTCGTTTTAGTTTATCATGACTTCGTTTGATGAACCGGGAAAATATGAAGAGGCTACCGGGGAGGGGAGAATGCAACAAGACGAATATGGTTGGTGCAGAGGAGCGGGTAGAAAGGAATAAACTATGAATGAGCGGCGGACATAGAACGGCGCCTCTCCCATTGGTGAGCTATGGTAGCGGCGGGGAAGCAAGGAAAGGGC